AATTTTTATTAATATTAATATATACTGTAATATGTGTACATGTTATATATACACTAAATAAATAGATATACTGTACTATGTATATTGGTGGTTTTTTATTCAATTTTTGTTCAAGCTCGTTTTTTTAATTTCTTACTGATTTCATCTTCTATCCGCTCTAATTTAATGTTTATTGGTTTTTTTCAGTTTAGATATCCCAAATTTCTTAAACTCGTCAGATATACATTACTGCCATCAATTTTTATTACTCTTTTGTGAATGTCATCGATTAGTACATTGTAAGTTCCAAAAATTAGTAAATCCAAAGTGATTAAATTATTTAATTAAAAACTTAAATTCCGTCAAAATATTTTAATATATTTACAATATATCTGGACCAATCTTCTCTGTGACGTTGTTTAGGAAGTAAATAAAACAGTTCAGTGTCAGCTATATAATCCTTGCTTTTCGAGTTCATTTCTATCAACTTTTTCAATAGTATTACTGGGTAGACCAATAAGTATAGTCATGCACTCCATGGGTGGCCATGATACGGTCCATTGGTTTTCATTAATGGCAATGGACCAGATCAAAACTCATTGGTCTCAATGGATCCAGCCTATTACAACCCTGATGCACGCTGTAACTATTAATGTAAATCCAGCATATAAAATTACCAGATAAGGATCATCTAGTAATTCCAAGATTCAAATGTGCTGTTATCATCTATAAAATAAATAAAATTATTATAAATATTTAAAATCGAATCAAAATTAAAATTTACCAGTAAACATATTAAATATTGTTAGCATTGAAGAATCAAATTCGTTGGTTTTGTTATCAGGTTTGATCATCATTGATAGCAGGCTCGTGTATTGCAAAGTCTTGACCTTGGTTCCAATAATATGCAAAGTGCGAAATGAAAAAATTTTGTTTGCAACCCCTAATTCAAATTGTCGGAATTAATTTCTAGAATGGCAACGATCGCAACCATTCTTTTTTCAAATTAAGAATACTCACACAAGTACTTCTCCTCTACCCGTTAGTTGCTTTTGTTTTATTGTAACCTGTTTAAATTTCATTTTTTATAGTGAGGGTATATACAGTATATAAGTGAATAATTTGAGATTATTTATATAAAAAAAATAACTAGTAAAGATTTTTTTTGGTTAATTTATTAATCAAAATTACGATGACGTCATTGTCGCTAATTAAATTAATTATTATTATGCAAGATCATCAGAAATTTTCCACAAGAAAAATACATTTGAAGAGTGATCATTGATTGAAAAAAATTTAATTCATTTTTTATTTTTCTTTATAACAATTAATTTTTATTACGTATAAAAGAATAAAATCGACCTAATATTATCTTTTTGTCATCAGTATTAATGAATATATTAATATAATAATAATAGTAATAGTAATAGTTTACAAACCGGATTGTTAACGGTTTTTAAGTAGTAAACGAGGTTGAACCTTTCGAGTAAATCAATTGCAGACATCATCTTTATTCTAGGGAAAGTGTAACATAAACCAAATATCACACGAATAGCGACCTTCATCAGTGATCAATGCTCATATGGGGGAAGATAAAGGGAAGTTTTTGCCCATCAACTTTACAGCAGCCCTTGTGGAGGCTGTTGAAGTTTTCTGACAACTTGCATGTTTGTGATAGGAAGATTTTATTAAATCTGACACCCATGATCATTATTATCAGATTTATTCATAGTTTAAGGAATCCCAGAGACCTGGGCACATTGCTTCACTTCTATATACATGGTTTTGGTATTATTGTTACTTGGGTGATGCAATCATTTGTTATGTCAATGATAACATCAAATGTATTGAATAACATTGTAATGGGTGCGTAGTATATAAAGGTATTCAACTAAGACATATGGGGTGATTTCTAGGAATATATGGTTAGGACCAAAATTGAGTTTTTTGCATAATACACATGTAAACTCAAGTCGGACATTTATTTATATTATCAAGTACTTTAAACAATTGATTGCCGCGTCTGACTTATATATTTATCTATATTACAAGGGTGAGAAAATCAGACCATGTTTGCTTAGCATAATGAGATACAAGACTTTAATATATCAACATAATTTTGCAGGGACCATTACTCAAAAAAATTTGCCAGAGCAATTGCATGGTATCAAAGACTACACCAATCAAGCTATTATTGAATATATTTGTTAATATTACTGAGAGGGTAGGTTTGTGTGCTAATTTAGAATCTCATCTTTTTTCGCTTATATGGAACAAAAGAATCTTATATTTTATTGGAGAAAGAAAATTGCATTTATTTGCAGTTCATGATGAATGTTTGTTTTATGCCAATGGTGATCGACCAATAGTATGGGACTTTTGGAAAACAACCATTATGAAAGAAAGGCCAAGGTAAATCAATAATGGTAAATGAGATTCTCGCAGGAACAGTTGGTAGGCTTAAATTATCAGAAAGTCAAATTTTACAATCTCCAGATTTGCCAAAAAATATTTAAGGCACAGGGAAAAATGAAGAAGGTTGGTGGACTGCAAATCATCTTTTAGGACAAGTTATTGACTATGTGATACCAATCTTTAAAGCATTACATCCTAATGCAATTGATGTATTTGCTTTTGACAACAACACCAATCATGGTGCAATGCCACCAGATGGATTGAATATGAATGTTAAAGCCTGGAGGGAAACAAGCAATAATGAGAGATATCTATTTTGGCTCTAATAAAACATTTCAATCGATGGTGTTTCCAAGTGATTTACCAAAAGGAACGGAACAAATTCTGATTGAGAGATTTATGGAAAGAAGGACTTCCTAGTGATTGTAAACTGTGTAAAGGTAAATCTAAAGTTATTGATAATAACAGAACAAATTGTTGTATGCACTGAACTCTTTCTTTACAAGATGATTTTGTTGCTCAAACATTAGGGTTACAAGAAGCTATTGAGCAACACGAACATAAATGCATTTTTTCCCAAAGCATCACTGTGAACTTAACCGGTTAGAAATGTATTAGGATGTTACAAACCTTTACACTCGTAATAATTGTAATTATACCTTGACTGATCTGCAAAAAAACAGTTCCAGAAGCATTAAATTCAGTTCATTTAATTACCTAGATATGCACAAAAATCATGATGTCATATGGACATTTACAGAAAAGGTCTAACAGAAAAAATAGCTGAATTTGCAAATAAAAAATATAAATCACATAGGCAGGTTCTTGTCTGATATGGTGGTTTATGACGAAATTAACAATGTAATAAATAAATTATTGAATGAAAATCAAGAAGTTTTTTTTATTTGATAAATCGATTCCTTTTTTAAAGCTAAGTTCAATGGTGGCATTTTTTCAAAATTTTTCATGTGTGAATCACATTATATTTAAAATTTTTCCAAGTTCCTATTATAGAGCCTCTGCTGTAATAATAACTTGATCAGTCATATGACAGACAACCCAGCGCATTGGGGAGGATGGCGTTGGAAAATACCTGACAACTCAAAAGATACAACTATATCTAAAATTTCGCGTTGAGCATTTTAATTAATGGTTGCCATAGTGAAATCTCAAGTTGTTTACAATTTTAGGCTACACATGATCGTGTAGTAGTAGTGATCTGTCGAATGATATTAATATTAATATTCTAATTATAATTCGATTATTCACCAATTATCCGGTTAATCGGGCGTTGAAAAATTTTCAATATTAATAATAATTATTATTATTGAAATTGCCTATAATTATGATTAATATTAATATTAATAAATGATCCGAAATGCCGAAATAACGTTGCCGAAATCAACTTTGATCAAATAATTTCACATATATAACTTTGGCAACTAACACTTTAGCCAAAATTCTGGTTAGTTTTTTTGTGTCTATTGATATAAAGAATATTGTAAATCCGAAATTGCTTGCCAAAATTATGATTTTTCAAAACCGTTTCGGCTAATGAAACGGGAGATTTCTAAATATCGCTTAAAAGTTACGTAAAGGTTATTTTTTATTATAAGCTTATTTGAATAAACCAAAAAAAAAAATAATAATTTAAAAATAGTAAAATATATAAAAATTTGACTAATCTATTTTTGTAAATGCATGCATTTAATCTATTTGAAAATAAATAAAAACTTCGATTGTGCTACGTAGATAATTCTTATGCATGTTTAGTGCACGCCCAAGAATATTATACTGAATATATCAATGTTTTAATTGCGCTTTTTTAACCTCATCCATTAAAATTTTCATTTGTTGTAATAATTCTTCTTTATCTTCATTCATTTTTTTTTCAAGAATTTTTTCAAGATCGTCTTTAATTTTGTTATTTGTATTTCTGAGTTCATCTTTAATTTCTTTTATATCATTTTCCATTCGTTCCATTTCAGTCCTGATGTTTACCGGCTTTCTTGGTTTAGGTATTCCAACAAATTTTCTAAGCTCGTCAGGTATGAATGGTTTTGGATCTTCATTACTATTATCAATTTCTGTGATTCCTTTACGAATTTCATCAATTGATACATTATAGGGTCTAAAAATTAGAAATACAAGATGAGTAAAATATTTAAATGTTTAAAATTAATTGTTTGGTTTATTATATTTACAATATATCTGGAAACCAATCTTTTCTACAACGTTGCTCAGCATGTAGATAATACATTTCAATCTCAGCTATGATCCTTGCCCTTTGAGCCCAGAATTCATCCTTTCTATCAATTTTTTCGATAACGTTACTAAGTAGACCATTAAATACAGCCATGCACACTATAAATATTAATGTGACTGCAGCATATAATATTGCCAAATAAGGATCATCTAGTAATTTCCAGGATTCAAATGCGCTATTATCACCTATAGAATAAATAAAATTAATTGTATTTAACAATACTATAACACAATTTAAAATCAAATCAAAATTAAAATTAAAATTTACCAGTATTGAAGAAGAAACCAACGTAAATTTGTTGGTCTTGTTATCAGGTTGTTTACCATCATTGATAACAGCCTCATCTATTGTAAAGTCTTGACTTAATATGTAAAATGTATGTGAAAAACTTATAATGATCAAAAAAAAAATAAATAAAAACGAAAAAAATTTTTTTAATCCCCCTAATATTATTGCATAATATACTTCAAATAGTTCAAAAACTCTTAAAAATAATATAAACTTCAAATCTAATAATAAATTAGAGAACGAAATTAACTGCCTAGATTGTGGTTGTTTTTCATTAATTAACCAAATAATTGAAATAATTGAAATGATAGTTGCCAATAAATATGTAATAAAATCTATTAAAACAGTTATTATGTTTATATAATTAGTAAAATTAATAAGGTAATGAATAAACTCTTATTAATAAAACTAATATCTTACCAAATAAATTCGATATATCCCTGATATACTTTTTTGGATTGTAACTAAATTGCCTTATTTCAAAATAAAGGTGAAATACTCCGAGTATAATTGCAATAACTATTAATAACATTCTAGCTTCATTTGGAAGTTTATCTGATTGTGGTGCCACAAAACATGATAAAAATGCCATATGAATCATCCAAACTCCATAATAATATTTGAATCCAAATTTATTCCATTTAAAATCCAAGATGCATTGAACATCTCTATATTTGTATAATTCTAAATTTTCTAATTCATCCCAAATTGAATAATCATTTTCATAAGTAAATAATCTAATAGATGGTATGGAAAGTTTTATATTGCGAATTTCTATATTGTTGTTGTCGTTATTGTTGTTATTCTCAAAAATATTAAAACTACAATTAAACGGAAACAAAATCTTTGAAGTTCGAAGTAATTTATCCTTTTTAAAATGAATAAAACAAGAATTGAACACTTTTCGTACAATATCGCTATTATTATCTTTTGATGCCAATTTTAAAATATTCCTTACATATTTGGTATAGAAACCAAAATCATCTAACATATAAGAAAGCATTTCTTTGTAAGGTTGCCTAGAAAATTCTTTAATAATTTCTTTACAATCAAATAGCAATTCTTCAAAATTGTAAAAATTGATTTTTTTTAATATAACGTCATTGTTATCATTCTTAATATATTTTGTATATATTCTCAAATTTTGTTCATTGAATGATAAAATCAATATATAATCAACTGTTCGTATTATCAAGTCATCATTATCTAATAATTCAGTGCACCTAAATTCATCGTTAACATAATTAAATAAAGCATATTCAACTATATTCCATTCTTCATTAATAAGTTTCCGTGCTTTTATGTTAATATTTTTAAAACTATCATTATATTCTATTCTCCATTCAATTGAATTTCTGCTTTCGATAACATAATTAATTGGTCTATTATAATCTAAAAGTTTTTTATGTGATTTACATAACCATTGTCCCAAATGTGATTTGTTTAAATGCAATTGCTGAATGGGAATTCGATTATCATCTAATATGTTGATAGTGTGAGAAGTCGACATTTAAAAATAAAATGGAATGTTTTTTTAATTTTTTGTTTTTTTTTTTTTTTTTTTTTATGTATAAAGGTATAATAAACCTTATTTCGAATTTAGGATGCTAATTAATAATGATCTACGAAGTGCATTTAAAATCCAAAGAATTCGCCTAGTTTTCACTGTCGTAACATAGTTTTACACTTGTTTTAATAGAATAACAATTAAATGTTGACGAATCTCTTTTCTTAAACTGTCAAGGCTTCTTTCTTTTAACTCTTTACTAAAGATATCAAATGCTGCGCCACGTGGCCAAATCCCAAATAGCGATGATATTCTTAATTATAAATTCACACAAGTCAATAACTTATTTACTCAGCGTACGTATAAATGTGAAGCCAGAAGAGTACAGAACGTTTATAGTTGCTGTTGATTTCGATTGTAGTTATTAAAAAAATTTTTTTTTAGAAGTTGCCTTTTCCAATGATGATGAATTTGTACATACATTGGTACATGTATTTCTTGATGACTCCTTTGTGTTAATATCGTCAATTAAACATTCATTCATTTTTTTTCAAGATGATTTTCAAGCTCGTCCTTAATTTTGTTATGGGTTCACCTTTTGTATCATTTTCATTCGTTCCATTTTAGTCCTAACGTTTATTGGCTTTGTTGGTTAGGTGTTCCAACAAGTTTTCCAAGCTCATCAGGTATAAATGAATCTTCATTACTACTACTATGAACTTCTATGATTCCTTTACAAATTTCACCAATTAATACATTATAGAGTCTAAAATTAGTAATATAAAGTGAGTAAAATATTTAAAATGTTTAAAATTTAATTGATTAATTATCACATTTACAATATGTCTGGAATCTTTCCTACAACGTTGTTCAGCAATACGATTCAATCTCAGCCATAATCTTTGCCATTTGAGCCCATAATTCAACTATATAATTATCAAGTAGACCAGTAAGTACATCCATGCAAACCCGCTCTTTTTATGATTGTTATTGTCACGGCCATCACTTCTACCGACATCATTTTTACCACCACCAAAATCCACATCTAAAATTTTCGGATGTTCAAAAACCTTCTGTAAACCTTCGGTCATCGGATCTTGATGCAATGCGATTGCACAATGTTCTCTATTAATTCTTTCGATTGTTTTGGTCAATATTTTTGAATTAATGAAATAATAATTGTTAATATACTACTATACTACTATTATAATTATAATTATAATTATCACTGTTATAGTTATTGTTATAATAAATGACGTCGTCGTCGTCGCCATAGTCAGCTAGAAGATGTCGTTGTTGTAACATTAATTTTGGTTGACATTAAATGTAAAAAGGTAGAGTACCGCGATTTGGAAGGTCAATGATGAAGTTATTTGTGATTGTGAAAGTAATGGACATTCCACTCACCATTATTTGATTGAACATCTTTAGAACATCTTTTCAAACAATTTTGACAGCTGCTGGTTTTTTCTTCAGAGCATTTCTTGTGAGTTTTGCTGCAATTTAGACATGTAATAATAATCAAAAATTAAAAATGCAGACCCAGCATATAATTCTATGATAATACAAATTTAGAAACTATCTCCACCGACACGTGTAACGTTACATAATTGCTAATTGCATTGCCTTTGTTTCAAGTGAGGGAATTATAATTGTAAAAAATCATTACAAATATTAATTTATTTATAAATAACCAGAGATTATATAAATGATACTTGGAGGAGGTATGTGTGATGTGGGTGGTGGTAGAGGTGGTGGTATTAACATCCATTCCTTTTACTGAAGGCGGTCCCTATATTATTTCACAGAAGCTCTGGGTACTAATTATATAACTACTGGCTATGCTAATACTTTTCATAAAAAATATAATAATATTTACTAAAATATTTTGATGGACATTTCTTATATAAAATTATAAAATTATTTTCAAAAACGTCAGTTACCTTTAAACATATCTGAATTTTCATAAAAATTTTTACTTGAATATTTAAAGTAAAATTGATTTGTTGAATTATTTATTGTTTTATTATCAACAACTGTCCGTTCAACATATTGATTTATCTCTTCTACTATGTGTTATAAAAATTTTGGAACTATAGAAATGTTTTAATTCATCGATAAGAAATAAGAAATCCATTATGATGATGTCAAATTATTTCCGGTTTTTTTTGGGGGAAAAATTTTCACAAAAAAAAAAAATAAAAAAAAAATTTTTATGGAATTAAAAATCCTTAAATGTCAGAAATCCATTGGGGTGTTACGGTCTATTCAGTCGCAGGACATTCAATAATTAAATGTTACACGAATAAAATTATTATCGTCCACTTCAAAAAAAAAATTCTCCGTTTTTCATATAGTAAGCGATTTTCAATCATAATAAAATTTTTAGGGCCAGACTGGGACAGTTAAAAGAAAAGATTAGCTTAAATATTGGTTATTCTACGCTAGGTCAGAAGCGTTTCTTTTCTTCACACTTATTAAAAGATTTTCTTCCAACTAGTATGCAGACTAAAACAAATTCAGCGGCAACAATTGTGCCAAAATGTTCCCTACAAAGTCACTTATAGCTACTTGAAAGGTTGTGTTAGGAAAATTATGACTTTAATTATAAGAGACTGATTTATAATTATTTATAGGTTATTAATTTATTACATAGGTAAACTCGATAAGTCGGACACAAATGGCTGGACATGGTGTCCGACTTATCAAGAGATCCGACTTATCAAAATATGCAATTTTAC